GCCGCCCCGGCGCCCCCGCTGGCCGCTCAGACTCTGCAGACTTCGGGAATCTCCAAGACGGCGAGACTCCGACTTCTTCACTACTGACCGCCCGCCCCGATATTCTACAGACTTTGCCACTTTGGCCTTTAGGAATCGCCGCCGGCCGCCCCCGTTGAGCTCTGAATCGGTGCTCCGAGTCCGAGCTTGCCGTCGCTGCCCCCGCTGGCCGCTGTCAAGTTCGCCGGACTTCATCAGGTTGTATTGTTCCAAATCTTTGACTACTTTCAATTTGATTGTAATCAGTAATACTTTATTATAGATATAGAAATGCCTCCAAGAAAATATCCTTCTGGATATGATAAACGCATGAAAAAAAGAAAAATTGAACAATTTGTCCAAACTCAAAGTGGAGCGCTTGATAAATTTATTGTTAGAGAAACACAAGATTTAGTTGAAAATGATAACATTAATGATTTGGGCTTGAATGAGTATGAGAATGAAAATGTTGATGATCAAAGTAAAAATGAAATTGATAAAGAAAATGAGAATCATAATGAAAATAAAAATGAGAATGAAAATGATAATCATAATGAAAATGAAAATGATAAAGAAAATGAGAATCATAATGAAAATGAAAATGAGAATGAAAATGAGAATCATAATGAAAATAAAAATGAGAATGAAAATGAGAATCATAATGAAAATGAGAATCATAATGAAAATGAAAATGAGAATATTTTAGACAATGAATTTGATAATCAATCCATGCTCATGAATTTGAATATTTATGATCCAAGAACTTGGGATAATTTGGACACAAAATCTAGAGATATATTAGTGAAAAATGGCCCTATAAGAGATCTATTAGTTGAAAAAGGTCCTAAAGATAAATTAGGAAGATGTTTTTCTTCGGCATTTTACACTAGACATTTATCAAATGGAGAGAAATGTGATAGGGAATGGTTAGTTTATTCAAAGAATATCGATAAAGTATTCTGTTTTTGTTGTAAATTGTTTAAAAATGGTTTTAAGAAAAGTTTTTTAATAAATGAAGGATTTAATGATTGGATGCATCTTAGTGCTAGGCTTAAAGAACATGAAACAACTAATGAGCACATCATTAACATGAGTACTTGGCTTGATTTACGCATAAGATTAAAGAAAAACAAAACAATCGATAAAAATATTCAAAAGTAAGTTAATAAAGAGAAGAAATATTGGAAGAAAGTATTACAAAGAATGATTTCTGTTGTTAAATATCTTGCTAAACATAACTTGGCATTTCGAGGAACAAATGAGAGAATTTACGGCTCAGCGACTCGCCGCCGCCGCCAGCCCCTGAGGGCCTGAGTGACTGAGTCCCCTCCTCTCCGGCTCTTCGACTCCACCGCGGCACCGCCCGAGGCCGAGGCGGCGAGGCCAGCCCCAAATCGTCGTCAGCCTCCATCGCCATAGGCATCCTCTCTCCGCCCTCAGCAGCTCAGCTCTGCTCAGCCTCAGACCCGAAATCACCCCCAACCCCGAAATCGCAGTCCCCATCCTCGGTCCTCCAAATCCAGTTCGGTCCCCATCCTCCTCATTTTTTTTATTTTTATAATTTTTTCTGTTGTGAACTTGTGATTTTTAGGGTTTTGTTGCTGATTTGAGATTTCTTTTCTTGTATTGCAGGAGATCCAAGCGGCCAAGTGGGTCTTACATTTTCGGTGCTGCCGTTGCCGTAGTGTCGTGCTGCCGCTTTGTATTCTTCAGCCGGAGCTGTTCAACAGGTTGTATTGTTCCGAATCTTTTAACTTCTTTCAATTTGATTGTGATATTTTTTGTTTTATTATAGAAATGCCTCCAAGAAAGTATCTATCTGGATAAGATAAACGCAAGAAAAAAAGAAAAATTGAACAATTTGTCCAAACTCAAAGTGGAGCGCTTGATAAATTTATTGTTAGAGAAACACAAGATTTAGTTGAAAATTCAATTGAAAATGATAATATTAATGATTTGGGCCTGAATGAGTATGCGAATGAAAATTTGAATCATAATGAAAATGATAATGAAAATGAGAATGAAAATATTTTAGGCAATGAACAACCTAATCAGTCCATGCTCATGAATTTGAATATTTATGATCCAAGAACTTGGGATAATTTGGACACAAAATCTAGAGATATATTAGTGGAAAATGGCCCTATAAGAGATCTATTAGTCGAAAAAGGTCCTAAAGATAAATTAGGAAGATGTTTTTCTTCAGCATTTTACACTGGGCATTTATCAAATGGAGAGAAATGTGATAGGGAATGGTTAGTTTATTCAAAGGATATCGATAAAGTATTTTGTTTTTGTTGTAAACTGTTTAAAAATGGTTTTAAGAAAAGTTTTTTAATAAATGAAGGATTTAATGATTGGATGCATCTTAGTGCTAGGCTTAAAGAACATGAAACAACTAATGAGCACATCATTAACATGAGTACTTGGCTTGATTTACGCATAAGATTAAAGAATAATAAAACAATTGATAAAAATATTCAAGAGCAAATTAATAAAGAGAAGGAACATTGGAAGAAAGTATTACAAAGAATAATTTCTGTTGTTAAATATCTTGCTAAACATAACTTGGCATTTCGAGGCACAAATGAGAGAATTTATCAAAATCATAATGGAAATTTTTTAGGCCTAATTGAAATGATTGCAGAATGGGATCCCGTAATGCAAGAACATGTTCGACGTATTGACCATGGTGAAATTCATTATCATTATCTTGGTCATAGCATTCAAAATGAATTGATAAGTATGTTAGCTTCTAAAATCAAATGTGCAATAGTTCAAAAAATTAAAGAAGATAAATATTTTTCAGTAATACTTGATTGCACTCCGGATGCTAGTCACCAAGAACAAATGACTTTAATATTACGATGTGTCGATATTTCTACAAGCCCGATAAAAATAGAAGAATTTTTTATAGAATTTTTAAAAGTAAATGATACATCTGGACAAGGGCTTTTTGAAGAATTACAAAATGTGCTAAAAACTCTTAATCTTGATATTGATAATGTACGAGGTCAAGGGTATGATAATGGGTCTAATATGAAAGGGAGACACCAAGGTGTACAAAAAAAAGTACTTGAAATAAATCCTAGAGCATTATACACGCCTTGTGGTTGTCATAGTCTTAATTTAACACTTTGTGACATGGCAAATTGTTGTGGTAAAGCAAAAGACTTTTTTGGAGTGATACAACGTATTTATACATTATTTTCTCACTCAACAAAGCGATGGCAAATTTTGATAAATAATATAAAAGGTTTAACTGTGAAGCCATTGTCAGCTACACGTTGGGAAAGCCATATTGAAAGCGTTAAAGCAATTAGATTCCAAACGCTTGAAATAAGAGAAGCACTACTTCAGTTAGCAGAAACTGATAATGACTCCAAAATAAGGAGTGAAGCAGATTCTTTAGCAACACATGGAATTGGAAATTTTGAATTTTTATTAAGTATGATTATTTGGTATGATATATTGTTTGCTGTTAACTTAATTAGCAAATATTTACAATCTAAAGACATGCTTATTGATATTGCTATAGATCAAGTAAAAGGATTGATTAGGTTTTTTGAGGAGTATAGAGAAGTTGGGTTCACACAAGCTATGACAATTGCTAAAGAAATTGCTACTGAAATGGAAATTGATTCTGTATTTCAAGTAAAACGTCAAATCCGTAGAAAAAGACAATTTGATGAGAATGTTAATGAGGAGACAACACAATCAGCTGAAGAATCTTTTAGAATCAATTATTTTTTGTGTATTGTAGATCAAGCTATTGGTTCACTAAAGAAAAGGTTTGAGCAATATAAAGCATATGAAGATATTTTTGGATTTTTGTTTGGTTCAGAAAAGTTAAACTCATTAGATGATAATAATTTGAAAGCATGTTGTGATAATCTTGAAATTGTTCTAAAATATAAAACATTTTCTGATCTTGATGGGAAAGATTTATATGGAGAACTAAAAATCTTACGATATATTTTACCAAAAGAAACAAAGATGGCTATTGATATACTGAATTTCTTAAAAATACGAAATTGTTTTCCAAATGCATGTATTGCTTATAGAATATTATTGACTATACCTGTTACAGTCGCATCTGCAGAAAGAAGTTTTTCAAAATTAAAATTATTAAAATCTTATTTGAGATCGACCATGTCACAAGAAAGACTGAATGGACTAGCTTTGATATCTATTGAAAATGATTTTATAGATAAAATTGATGTTAAGGGCTTAATTAGTGATTTTGTAGCTAAAAATGCAAGGAGGACAATTTTTCGATGATACTTTTTTATGCTAAAGACTTCGATATCTCTTATGAAGGTAAGCACAGATACAAGATGAACATAATATGCAAATATTTCTTATTGAATCCTTTAGTCTCTTGGTTTATGCTAAAAATAAGTGTGGCGTTTTATTTTTGATTAGTTAGCTTTGAACTTTTTAAATTCATTTGCAGAACTGCTCACTAGTAGAAAATCAAATATTCTAGACGGAATATTCTAGACGGAATTTTTTCCGTCTAGAATGTATTAAACTAGACGGAATATTTCCGTCTAGACTATTCCGTCTAGAATAATCATTCTAGACGGAATTTTTCCGTCTAGAATGATTATTCTAGACGGTTTTTTTATTTTTTTTATTTTTTTAAAATAACCAGGTATTCTAGACGGAAATTTCCGTCTAGAATAGTATCCTAGATGGAAATTTCCGTCTAGAATAGTATCCTAGACGGAAATTTCCGTCTAGAATACATAGAACAGTTTTTTTTAAAAAATTCAGCCAATAAACCCGCGAATGCCTTCCTTTCCCCACTAAAACGAATAATTCATCGCCAAATTTGTTTTCATTTCAGGAAACCCCCTCCTACTCCTCCCTCCACCGCGTCCCCCTCCTCTCCCTC